GAGAACTCTGAAACAGAGGAACGCCCATCACAGAGGGGATGGGGTGAGGTGGCCTAAGGAGGAAGAGCCTGACTGCAGCACAGAGATGGTAGCTCTGGGCTCTTGTATGCAGAGTGATGTGGAGGGAAGGGTGCTTCAAAGGCCCTGAAAAAAAATGAAAACTGGTTTCTACAACCAGAGTGTTTCTAACAGGCTGCTGGTGCACAACCGTAGTTTGGTGCCTCAGGGTAGCGGGTTCAGTGTGACCAGAGCAGTGGTGACTCAGTAGGGATATGGACTGTTTTGCTGATTAAGGATACCAGTTAAACTTGGACACCAGAGTGAAAAGAGTAGGTGTATTTTACTGGGGATAATTAAAAAAAGTAACATTAATACAGAAAATGTGCAGTAAGAAAAGACAGAATAATGCACTTAAATAGGAAAATACAGGGTAGTGCATCAAATCATTACTACTAGAGAGAGAGAATAGTCATTAAGAAAGATCCATCACCACTTGCACCCATTACCATCATCCAGACCCACAGCCGCTGGGGAGCCCCAGTTACAGCAAGGGTTTGGAGAGCCTGTTCCGGCAAGTGGGAAATCCTACATGGTGTGTCCATCTGTAGGTGAGGCACCCAAAGTCGCTGCAAGAGGGTCCAAATTTATGTAGTATTGAATAAACAAGTCTACCTGACTATGGTGCAGTGAACATCTGACTTCACTCTCCAGTTAGATTCCCACAGAGCCTGGCCAGGGCTCAAGGAGGAAGCCGAGGGAGCTTTCCTGCTTGTCCAATTTTGACCACATTCTTTTCAGAACAAGGCCACACATCTGGTCCCAAGGCTGAACAGCTAGCTTCATGGCCTTGTTAACTTCCACCTACACAAAGAAGGATAAAAATATATTCAGTATAAGCATGTTTTCATTACATTCATTATCAGTAACAAGTATATGATCATCAAAGTTATGTTGTTCACTAGTGAGCATACATCCATCATTAATGATTACATACTAAGTTAGCAGCTTCAGCTCAGGGCTTGTTGTTCAGGCTTCAGTACTTCAACACTTTGGCACTTTTTACATCAGCATAGGTGGTTATAACCTAGCACAATACTCACTAGCACAATGGTTATCAGTTATAAAATATACAGGATTCATCTACAGGTCAACTTTGGTTTGGCCTGTTGTCCAAGCCTTAGCACTTCAACTGTGCCCAAGGCTGCCAGCAGCAGGCAGGCAGGATCACTTAGGGCTTGGCCACAGAGCTAGGCAAGAGCCCAGGAGAGTGACCTACATCGAAAAAAACAGACGGGAGCCGAGCATTGATCTTGGTGCTCTGAGGAGAATACAGAGGCATGAAAGCACTCAATGAGGAATAAACTCAAGGAACATAATTTCTGCATCAACAGGAATGCCAGATCTTGGTTTTCTTCTTTTTGTCTGCTTTCTGGCAGAACCACAGTTCTGTGGAGTGGAAATATTGCCAGATTCTTACTGCAAATTGTTGGATCTTAAACAGGTTGCTTGTTGGGAAAAATGCCTTGTGGCAGATGTGATAGCCCAAGGGAGGCTGCTGCAGCTTCATTTCCTCAGCCCCAACCAGTAGCCAGACTGAGCTTGTATTTATTTCCAGTAGGCACCCACACATAAACCCACATATACACCACATGTATATGTATATACTCACATGCACACAGCACCAGCGGCCTCATCCCACCCCCTTCTCTGGCTGACTAGGATGGAGGTGCACTAGTAGGCATATATACATACATATGTATGTGTATTTTTATATATATATATATACACACACACACACACACACACACGTATGTGCAGTGTGGCTCCCTCCAGCAGCTGAGCTCAGGCAGGATGCCTAGTAGCTGCCCCTCAACTCCAGCCTCTCCAGTCCCCCCTGTGATGGTCTCACCCCCAGGGACTCCCAGGACCCCAGCCTCTTTGGCAGCTTCCAGGACATCCCTGGTCCCCCTAACAGCTGTCTCCTCCCTCGCAGCCACCTCACAGCCCCCAAGCCCTCTTGATGGCTGCTTCAGCTGCACCCTCCATGCTGCTCACCCACTCGCCCCTGTGCCCAGTGCTGCCCCATGGGCACAAGTCCCTGCTGCTGGCACCCAGACCCCCCCACACCCCTGCACATGGTAACGAGAGTCCCTCACCCTGGGAAAAGTGAGGAAGGAGTTTGATGAGAAGATGGGACAGGCTGAGGCACAGGACATGGCCAGACAAACCATCACAAACCAGTTACAGGCAACCAGCCCTTTTTATTCCTTTATCATTGTTTTCTCACACTTGATCATCCACAAATCTCCTTTTCCCACCTTTGGTTCCTTCCCTAAACAGCCCCAAATGAGTCCTGTGCAATCCCCAAATGCTCTTCCCCTGCACCCCATTGTGTGTCCCACACCTCTGTATGCAGCGAACCCCCCTCAGCCCTAAAGGTGCTCTGGGGCTGAGGTTCCCCGGGAGGGGCTCAGACAGGGTGTCCCTTCCTCTGAGTCCATAATTTGGGTCCCCACTTGCCATTGTGCCCTTGTACTCCTTGAGATGGGCCTTTGGTGGGCCTGGGAGCAGCCTGGCAGGGTGCTGGCTGGGATCTCCCTCCTGCCCTCGTCTCCCTGTGCTCCTCTGTGGGTGTGCAAGTGAGCTTTTAGCACATAACCTCCTTATTAATCCATAGAGTCAGGTTGGGGATCTTTCTTTTTTTTTTTTTTTTGATATAAGACCTAAGTAAAATTTCTCTAAGGATTTGGGTTTCCTTGTAGAATTTCTATTGTTTCTTCCAAGTTCTTCGGTCATCTAGAAACAAGACAATCAAGCCATATGTTCCTGTTTTAAGACCACATATGTGTGCATAGAGGCACATAAAACTTCTACCAGCCATTCTTCAGCATAAAGGGATGACAGCCGGGAAGAAAAGCATGTTGTTGCTTTTCCTCCAGCACCAGTTTGCTGAAAGGCTCCTTTAAAGCCTTGGAAAGCAAAGGCAAGAGGAGCTGGTTATGTGCAGAGGGGTTTTTCTGCAGGGGATATAGTGGAAAACCACATCATAACCAGGTTAATGACCAGGGAATGAATTCAGATGGGGTGATGTTCTGGTGCTTAAGGATACCAATTAAACTCAGACACCAGAGTGAAAAGAGCAGGTGTATTTTACTAGTGATATCAGTGTAATACAGAAAGCATGCAGTAAGAAAAAGCAGAATAGTGCACTTAAAGCAGCAAACAGAAAAAAAAAACAGGGTAATGCGTTAAATCATTACTACATGAGAGAGAGAATGGAGATTAAGAAAAATACATCACCACTTGCATATATTATCATCATCCAGGTCCACAGTGGCTGGGGAGCCCTGGTCACAGCGAGGGTTTGGAGAGCCTGTCCCGGCAAGTGGGAAACCCTACGTGGTGCATCCACCCATAGGTGAGGCTGCCAAAGTCGCTGCTAACGGGCCCAGCCTTATATACCAGAGATCGACAGGCCAGAATAACTGGCACCTTTGTTTTGAGCGGAAAATTTCTGGTTTCATTCTCCTGTTGGATTCCACCCAAAGCCTGGCCATGGCTCAGGGAGGGAAACCAAGGGAGTTACAGGATTCATCTATAGGTCAACTCTGGCTTGGGCCAGTTGTCCAAGCCTTAGCACTTCAGGCGAGTGTGGCACAGAAGCAGTTGGTGCAAGAGAGTCAAGCAGGACGAGGCAGGGAAGGCAGGTGGCAGCTTGCCGTGCAGCCCTCAACATGGATGGAGGGATGCTTGGCAGTGGGGGTGACAGCTGGCACATGCACTGCAAGAGCGTGAGACTCGTCGGATGTTTGTGTGTCCAGCTCAGCTTATCTAACCCTGACATTGCCCTGGGAGGCTGTGAAGGAGCAAAGTGCACCGGAAGGAAAGGGAGCAGGGCCTTGGACTTTGGTATTAACCACAACATGCTGGCAGCCGTCAGCTCAAAGCAGCATTCCCAGCCAGTAAACATCCAGCTCTGCTCAGCCCCTCGCCCACAGGTGCCAAAGCTGGGCTGGCACCAATGGCTTCTGCTGGACCCTGGCAGCCGCAGCCCACCCCGGCACCCCAGCCTGGAGGGTAGGACTGAAGCAGTGTCACCTGCAGTGGGTTGGGACATCATATGCTAAAAGCCACTTCCTGTCATCCAGGAGATTTTGTCATGGGAGGTTTCATGCAGAGCCCAAGCCTAATTCTGCCCAACATGTTAATTAAACTTTTACCAGAGATGCCTTTCCTCAGAAATATTCACCACCTGTGTTACCACCACCTTGTGCGATCTGGCCATTGAAGTTGGCCCAGTTTTGAGCTGGAGGGTGGACAGGATGACCTCCAGTGGTCCTTTCCCACCAATATGATCCTTCAACTTTCTGAGTAATTGCGGATGCCAACCCAGCTAGGAAGGGCTGGGAGCACTTGGGAAGGTAGACTAGGATCACGGAGTGCTTCTGATGAAGGCAAGACATGCTCTGAGCCTTCCATGTGGAATTTAATGCCAAAAACTACAAGCTGTTGCAGCTGGAGCAGCAGACTAACACAAGCTGTCAGCTGGGAGTATTACCATGAGGACGATGATGAAACCACGGGGAGCTTAGATGGCTGATGAATGGCAAATCAGCAGCGCCCACCTTGCTGCAGGAAACTGAGCATTAGCTGCGGGATGCACTAACCAGAACAACGCCTCTGAAATACGGGAAGTCTCTTTTTGGGGGGGGTTTGCTCAGAGCTGACGAGGCTCTGGATTTCACATTTGCCCTGTCGGAGGCAGCTGAAAGGTCCGCGATTACGGATCGAGGGTAAGGTTGGCGAGAGAAGGGGCGTCTCTGGGAAAGCCCAGGCCTGTGTGGCTGAGGCTGAGGAGGCCCAACGCGCCTGCAGAGTCGCAAAGCTCCGCCGCAAAGCGCCTCCGGCGCGGGAAGCAGCAAGCCCCGTTCCGCCCCGGCGCCG